TCACCGAATATTTGTGAAAGCGTGTTGACCGTTTCATCAAAAGTGAAATCGCGCGGGTTCTTTGGCAGAATATAGTTAGCGTACTTATCATGCTCTGCGGGTCCAAGTTTGCGGAGCAGGAGGCGAACCTTCCAACTATCATCTTGAAGTGAAAAGTCGACCATGAACAGGTCTTCATAGCGACGAAACCAAGCATCAAACGTTATGCCAGCTGAGGGTTCATAGCAAAATTCGTTGATACTGCCAGCGATTCCATCGGCCGACTGTGGGACGCTCGACGCCGCCGGTGAAGTCAAAGATGTAGATGATAGTCGCTCCGTAAGTACTTTGATGAGTTGCAGTTGCTGCTCAAACATTACATTGAGTTGTTCTGCCTCCATTTGCGTCGCCAAATATGTTACGGTTCTGTCACGCAGCGAGCAAACAATATGATAATGCGGATTGTGGCAATACTCTATCCCCAGCTATGTTGCTTGATCCAGACTCCTAGCACGGCGAATAGTAAGAAGACGAAAACCTCGGACACAAACTTTAATAATCCAACAACACACGATCAACAGGCGATGCCCGGAGCTTCCGAACCCAAGTCAGTGGAAAGAATGGTATCCTGTACGTGGTCGGATTTGAATTTCCTTGGAGTATCAATAGGCCATTGATTATTCATAGTTTGACCTTGAAGATGCCGGGAGTTCGCTAGCACACATAAAAACATAGCGTTTTCTGGGGGATATTGATATCCCCAACAGAAAGTTCCAGACGGGCCAAAAAGTGATGCAAAAATCGAACTCATCTGTCAACGGCAAGTGAGGAACAACCAATTAAATCTGTCTCAACTAAAAAGGTTATTCCATGGGCAGTTGTGTAGTCCGCTTACGTCTGGAACTTGTTCTCCTATCAGGAGAGTGAGTGATGCTACGTCCTGTCTAAGTTCGAGTTGATGACTTTGCTGATCAGCCGCTTGTGGCCGAATAATTAAGTTTTCAAATTACTTGCAGGAAGTTCGTGGGTTCGGAACTTGGTTGGTCCCATGGGATGCACACTACTGATGGTCTCCAGTGAGGGTGAAATAAGGGCACGTATTTCCTCAGCTTCCCACATATATTAGCTCTACTAGCAGGCAGAATTCGCCATTAATATATATATATATATATACATATATATGTTGGTCTCCTTAGTTGGTGAACTGGAGTGAGGCTAGGAAGATAAACAAGTAAGTTGCTCGCAGCTTTGCGTTGGGGGGGAGTGAAAACTCAATAGTGTTGGTAGTGTGTCAGAATTTTGGTTATTCAATGCCTTTATACATAGCTTATCAGATGGCTGATTATCTGTTCACCAAGCTCGGTAGGTGACTTCCGGACGTTCCGTCACCACTCGAGAAGACATCATCAGCGAGCTGTTGGGTAGGTAGTTTTTCTGTTCGTGCCTGCGGTAAGGTTGTTTACTAAGAGCAGTTCTAGGCCATGATCTGATTGACTGTTGATTGCAGCATCACCTGGAGCCCGTTTGAGATCTGTTTTGCGTTGTGGTTCGTATTTCTTGAGTTCGGTTGTTTCACTACATGCTGAAATTGTCGCCCATCATTTCCCCCTTCAGGTTGCTGCGTTAGCGGTCTGTGTTGCGTCGTGGTCCGCCCTTCTGTTGTTCGTTTTGTTTGATGGCATGCCTTCCTTTCTTAGTGGTTTGCTGCCTTCATCCTGATTTTTAACTTACGGCTTATCTTCATGAGCCTGGTTGGTTGATTAGCACGGTGATAAAACGTCTGAAACTCAATCACCGAGCTCGGTGAACAGATCAGCAGTCACCAGGTAAGGTACCGATCTGATGCTGCGCCAGATACAAGTCCAAAAGTACCATAATATAAACTTTCCCGTGTAGCGATTTTTTAAATTGACGTTTATATTGTGCTCACAAAATCCATTCGTCAAACTATATGATTCAGTAGCTCGCAAGGTAAGCGTGCAACTGGAGTGCACTTTGTGAAAAGTTGAGAACCCGAGCTAGCGTTCTTAGCCTATGGTTTCTGTGGAATTTCGCCCATACAAGGGCGGAAGTTGTTAGAAAAATTTAGCAGCGCTTCTGAATGCTTCCAGTCATTTATTGGGCAAATCTGACCAGAGAACGCGAAGATACATATAGTTACTTGTCTGATCAAACCGTCGGCAAACTAACTATTGTCTTACGCATTCACTGGAGGACGAGGGCTTTTTTCAAATGCCTGACTGAATTTCATCCAGTCTGGTTCTTTCAAATCTCGGAGTCTTGACCGAAAAGTAGAATTTAATTTTGACTGTGATACGTAACAAGTTTTATGCTTGATTTTGCATACATAATTTTGCGCTTCAAAAGTTACCTCACCTGTACACTGCATTCAGGACTTGGTCCTAGAGCGAGAAGCCGCCGCTGTGACATTACAAAAACTGCTTCGAGGTCGCGCAGTCCAGACGCAAATGTTTGAGGGGAAAGAAAAACGCCGCGAACTGATTGCTGAACTACGCTCTACTCATGCATTGCTCGAAGACGACCAGGCCCAAAGATTGCGGGAGAAATCGGCCATTTTTGAAAGGCAACAAAAACACCAGGAGTTAGTGATCGAAGTGAGTTATTATAAATGATTTCTGAAGCAAGCTAAAGTATGGTCCGATAAACACTCTCAGAAAAAGTTGAGAATACGTCGAGACAAACACTCAGACCTCCATCAAACAGGCAGTGGCTAGTGTTTTCCTGCAGGCTGACCTCGGGAGGCTAATTACACTGTTTCAGTATTGATCCCTCTCACAGACTACCTTAGCCCACAGTTCTAACTCAGTGAATAATAGTCAACTTTAGTTATGTATATATATATATATCATTTTTATGATAGATTCTACTGTCGTATGTCGTACAAGATGCTTTTGTGCCAGTAGGTGTAGTTCATTATCAAGAAAACACATCAGGTTAAACCTGACTCATTTCTCCTGGAAACACATGGACTCGATATCCCCATTCCAATGAAAAGTCTATTCTGTGAATCCTTGTATCCACAATTCTACAACTTGTTGACAGAAACGAAATTTTTACAGGTCTTTGTGGTTCAGGAAACCCATCGGGCATTCAAGAGGTGCTTTACATATGGAAACTAAATGTAAACTGAGAACAAAACTCCAGATGAGAAATTCTCACAGGTCAACTTAGTCTTGAAAAATCTCGGAAAATGACAAAAAATGACAATCAGACTCGAGCGAATTTGTGACATTATTTTCCTTTAATGTCCATATTTTCATATACATTTGGTGATGAAAGACAGCCACGTTACAAGCAGTAAGCAGTTCGCAAAAATTTGTTGATGACAATGCAATATGTTGCGAGCAGTGTGCGGTCACTTCAAGATTGAATAACACACGCGCCACATTGCGCAACATGCCATGGGGCCCCTCCGACTCTTATCAAGGCATTCATCCTTATTCAATTAAAGACGCTAAACCTCGAGCACATGCCCACTACATTAAATCTGTGGATTCTTGATTAATTTAGACATTAGTACTAGTCACGAAGAGACTCGACCTTACAGTGATGTGGCGGTGTGTGTACCTCGGTGACCTATTGAACTATACCATACCGGGGGGATGTCCGCGCCGCACTCACAGAGTCTCTCATACCAGGTTGGTACATGGGTAAAGGTCTGACGAACACAGTCTCCTGGCCCTCCAGTTTGTGGGTTGGAACATGTATGGTTCCATGTATGTGTTCCATAAAAATGGTAATGTACTTGCATTTCCAGCCGAACACCACTGCCTTGCGGTTAGGCTTTTGAGCCAAAGGCTTTGGTTGAGGACCCTAATCATCCTCCTTTCTAGGTATTGGCGCCCTGGTATTATCCCAGCCCTCGTACAACCGTAACATACACAACTAACAATATTCTCATGCCCCATCGGCCGTTGCGTGGTGCCATCAGTCTTACTTGCTGCATACAGCGGGGTGGGTAAGCGAAAACATGATACTGCTGACGCCTCCCTTCTTACACTTTCACGTTTTCCCTCTTCCACCCTCTCCCGCCCAAATTTGAATACTTTCTCCGCAGGTTCCAGCTCTAGGGTTGACCGTTTTGCTCGCCTTGCTTCACACTCAGTTGCAGCTTCTGTACGACCTAGTTCAGTAACAGGCCTAAACACTTCGATGTCTATTTTCAAACCCCGAAAGCCTGTCTACTTAGCCGTCTTTGATGTTCGCGCACTGAATAAAGCAAGTCAACAGGTGGATCATGCTCGTACGCTGGGCTCCCTCTGCATTGACGTATGTTGTCTGTCACAAACAAGGATGCAGGACCCAAGTACTGTGATCGAACTGACTGGCCCCTCGCTCTCTTCCAAGTTCCTGCTTCGCACGTCTGGTGATGCAGAGACCGCTGCAGCTGGATATGCTCGGGTGGGTATTGTACTGAGCGAACGAGCTGTGCGGTTCGTTTGGCAACACCTGTGAGAGAATCTAGAGGAAGTGGGGTTCATCGCACCTTGTCTATTGTGTCTGCTTACGCCTCAACTGGCTGTAGCTATGAATCTGCCAAGGACAGTTTCTATGACGCTCTAGGAGCCCTTCTGTAGCAGGCTAAAGGCTCAGATATCGTCGCGGTTGCTGGTGATATGAACGCCCAGGTAGATAGACCAAGCGCTGCTGGGACCCAATCGGGTGATTTTCTTGGTTTGGACATGAGACGCACGGATAACGGGGACCGCTTGCTCCAGATGTGTGCCTATCACAATACCTTTGAAGTATAAACTTCCAAAACAGTGGAAAACGCTTGAAAACGTAATGCTCACCAACAAACCGGCCTCGGATACAAATAGACCGTTAGTTATCGGTGGCGAGGGTCTATCACCGCCTGCCGCTCCTTCTGGAACACCGACCTAGAATCCGGCCATGCATTTGTACTCTGCTGCTTTTCATTGCGCTTTTCAGGTGTACGCAAAACGCGCACACCTCGCCTAGCCACTGAGAAGCTGGTCGACCATGAAGTCAAACAAAACTATCAGAACCAGCTCCTCGAATGCCTGCCAGACGGGACGGTGTTGGATATAAACGGCCACTGGGAAAATATGTCCAAAGCGTTATTCAAAGCCGGAATGTTTGTTTGCGGTACAACCCAGCCAACCCATCCAAGCATTCGATCTTTGATAGGACCATGTCTTTGCTAGAGACCTGGCGACAGATTCCACCTGGCCGCCACCACAACTCCACCCGGCGCATCATCCGACGCCAGGTGACACTGAGTGTCCGCGCAGGCCGAGAAGCTTGGTGGACCCGAAAGGCCAAAAGAAATGGAAGATGCAAAGAATGCTGGAAACGTGCGCAAACTGTTCCACTTGATTTGTTTGACTGGTCCTCGGCGAAGTAATCAGGGACAAAAATCGTTCCCTGATATGCAGCAAAGCAGAACGTTTGGAACGCTGGGCACAGTGCTTTGAGCAGCAATTCAACTGGCCATCTGCTACATCCAATCCAGTAATCTGGCCTGCAACGGACAGGTGGACCGTAAATATGGAGCTGCCTTCAGTCTCAGAAGTGTCTGAATGTATTTCTCTACTCAAGCGTAATCGTGCTGCTGGTCCTGACGACCTTCCACCTGCTCTTTTCAAGGATGGCGGTGGATTCCTCAGCCAGTGCCTGTCTAGCCTATTTGGGT